TGCGCGCCTTCTCTGGGCCCTGGCAGGCTCCTGGGAGCTGGCAGACTGCTCCTGGGGAAGCGGTGGAGGCTGCCTGCCAGTGGCTTGCTGGCTCATGTTTTGGGGCCACTGGGTCAGGGGCAGTGACTGCTGGCTCTGGGCTGGTAGGCTTGGAGCTGGCACAGGCACTGTGATCAGAGTCAATCTCTTTAAAGGAGGAGGGAGGAGGGAGAGGAGTGTTCTTGGTTGAGGCTGGAGTGGCATCCTGGGAAGGCTGGAGACCCCCTATTTCTATATAAGTGTCTACACAGCACTTATTTCGAAATAGCTATTTCGAATTTGGCGTTATTCCTCATGGAATGAGGTTTACCAAATTCAAAATAAGCGCGCCACTATTTCAAATTACATTTCGAAATAGCGGTTTGGCTATGTAGACGCTAGAAAAGTTATTTCGAAATAATGGCTGTTATTTCAAAATAACTTTGCTGTGTAGACATACCCTTTGAGATACGGAAGACTTATTAAATCATCTCTTGCATATGTCAGGGCAGGATTGTTTCCTATTGTTCATTTACAGTATTAGTATTTTGTCAAGTCTTTTACATGTATCTCTCCCCGTGGGAGATTTAATTTTACCTAGCTTTGCAAATAAAAATTCACTTCTGGCCTTACAATAAGCAGAACAACAATTTACAGACTAGTAGATTTCAGTGTCAGGAAGCTTTTCCCCAAAATTAACCCTTTTCACAAGTCAATGTACAATACTATTCTATATAGGATGGTCAGATTTGATTGCTTAGCTTAGCGGTTCCCAGCCGCCAGGCAGGCTGCCAGGTCGAGGCAGCTCTGGGGACTGGGACTGAAGTATACCACTCTCGCCGCGGGTGTTGGGAGAGGCATGTTCTGCTCTGCCTTTCAGCCAACCAGCGCCGGGCAGGAGCAGGGTCTCTTCCAGCTGTGGAAGAGCACTTCTCTATATGGCGGGAGGGCCACACAGGGAAACGCTCTTCTGCAGCTGGGAGGAGACCCAGCTCGGTGCTGGCTGGCTGAGAGGCAGGGCAAGACACGCCTCTCCCAACACCCATGGTGGGAGGGGAGGTGCTGGATGGTGTTCCCTAGAGCCACCATGATGCGGGCAGCAGTGCAGGGCTAGGTGAGGGGGGTGGAGCAGGCACTGGGGGCGCCACGGTCATGGCTAGTGGGGGGGTGGTTCTGGAGGCTAAGTTAGTAATGGGGGGGCATGGGGACAGGGCTGGTACTGGGGGGACTGGTGGTGGGGGCTCTAAGGGGTAGGGGGCTGGGATTGAGGCATTTAGGATGGGGGGCTCTTTGGGTGGCAGGTTGGCACTGGGGGGTTGGTTGCAGGGGACTCTGAGGTCAGTGGCTGGCAGTGGAGGGGGGGGGGATCTAGAGGCTGAGGCTGGCACTGGGGGCTCTGAAGGCTGGGCTTTTGGCAGACCAGTAACATTTTATTTCCATATGTGCATATTTATCATTTGCATAATGAATATGCAACTAAAATTATACAGGTCTATCAAAAGGTTTGTGAATGGGTTTGCTGGTCCCCAGTATCAAAAAGGTTGGGAACCACTGGCTTAACTGCTTGCCCTGCTCCCAGTTTCCTTCCTACCAAGAACTCTCAAGTCTCTAATCTGTATTCTTTACAATTTACGTTAAAAAAATTGTCATTCTCCCACCAAGAGAGTTGTTCTTCCTACTGGAACACACATACAGTCCAAATGTATAATTGTAGATATTCCAAAATAAGTGTGTAGCCATATACCTTTCCATGGCTTTAGCAGTATAAGGCAAATGCATTTCAATACTGTGTTCATCTTCATCTGTCTGGAGAGACATACGCTCAAACATTCCAGTCTTCCACAAGTCTCCATAAACTGAAAAGATTTTTAAATGTTTTTTTAAAATACTTCATTAAAATAATTTTTTACCAAAAATTACATTACAGCGTATCTTGTTAGAAGTGGCACAATAAAATAATACTCTCTGCCTCTGGGGGCTATGATCACAGACCAGTCTCCATTCCCGCTTTCTAATTGAAGAACAGTTTGAGTTTAACTCAGGTCTCAACATTTTTAACTACGTGAGTATCTTACAGTTCAGAATGCATTGCATAAACCAGTGACACCTTTAGCATCTTTGAGATGCTTTTTGCAGTCATTATGGCATAAAAGATTTAAATGGTATACAAATTATTAAAATGTGTACTTATCCACATAATCTTTGTGTTTTTAGATTTCCACTGACCATATAATTCTGCATCAGTGAGGAAAAAGTTGATCAAGCAAGCTGCTGTTGGATGTATTTGTTTATCAATATAGCACTTTAGCCATTGGTCAATGCACAAAACACACACTGCTGAATGTGAAAACCCCCAATATTCTCTGGGTATGGGATTACCTGTATTATCTTGCACTAGTAATTTATGAACTTTTTCTTTTAAACCCCTACTGCACCCATCCAAAACCTAGGGCTTCTAGGTGTTGCCATAATACAAATAAAAAAATAAAGAAATCTAAAAAGTGCAAGGTTGTATATACATACTCTTTTGATCAATTCGAAGATCATACAGAGGTGTTCTATAAATCTCCACACTGGAAAGTGCACATCGGGAAAGGGGCACATGATGGGAAGGCCCAAGGATGAAAATTTTCCGGCTAGGATAATTAACAAAAAAACTAAAATCAGGACACTTGTACTTCTACAGAAATCTGTGTTAGAAAAATAAAGTTGAAAAAAAAAAACCCATCCTGAACTAATTTTGGGAGGTTAGACAGGTAGCTAATCGCAGTGCTCTACTTTATCAGGAGCAAGAGCAGGGTTCAATTCTTGGCTACCTAAGCCAGTTTTAAAGCTTCCTTTAGATGATGAAAACTGGTTTAACTGAATTGGTTAGAGAATAGTGCAGGTCTTTACTGTTCAGGGTTAATGATGAGTCCACCACCATGGTAGCTGAGGGCACGTGTCCTCCACTGAGGATTGGGTGGCATGTTTATTATCAATTACTTAAAGCCCCTTCTGCTTCACATTATTACAGTCTTTCCTGAGTTCAGTTTAAGCTACTGTTTCTCCTCCCCAAGGAGCTAGTCTCCTCCAAACACTGTGTTATCTGTGAGTCAACTGTATGAAAAACTAAAAAGATTTGCATGTTATTAACATACTACTGGCACTGCAGCCTATGTCTCATGATGGGCAAAAGATATTCATTTCACCAAATCTCTGGCCCTGATTAAAGGTCAGTGATTCCTGCCATAGAAATTTTCAGAAACAGTGTTGCCTTTGCATGGGAAATCTATCATAGTTCTTCAGTAGTTAGATACCACCAGTTTTTCTTTGCTTTTTGTGCATGCAGTAGTAGAGCTGAGCAAAGAAAAATATGTTGAAATGATGCATCAATTCACTTTGAAATCTATCCGGAAGTAGAATTCCTCAACTGAAGCAAAATAAGGTGCTCCTGCACAGGCACTCCAGCGGCAATTTTAAGGGCCTAGAGCTTTTGAATTGCTGGATCCCAGGGAAACTGTCCCCTTTTCTCCTTCCTTTCCCCTCCATCAGGCCTGCTCCTGCAAGTTTAAACAAGCTACACAGTAAACAATAAGTGACATAGAAAAAAAAATCCAGCAATTCAATGCATTAAATCTGGAGAGTGGAACTTGTTCCAGAAATGTCAATGCAGAAAACATATCCGTGTAAACGTTATCAGTTGTTTCCCTTTTAAAAAATTGTTCTCATTTTGCTCAAAATATTTCAGAAAGAATCTGAATAATTTCACTACTTTGGGTCATGTTTTTTTTTCCTGATAAACCACTGATGAAACAAACAAGCAAACAAAGTTGGTTTATTATGTCTAACACTAACTACCTTAAATGATCGCTATTTAGCTTCAAAATGCATATATGGATCAAGAAAATACTTTAAATGAGAACTGATTGTTGCTATATGGCCGGAAGTTCTGAAATATTCTGCAACTAGCAAAATATATGCAGATTTATTTTTTTAATAAGAGTAACTGGCTCTAGTGCAGGCAACTGCAGACCACTTTTATGCCTGTGAATTTTCAGAACAAGTACATTTGGAACAATTAGTAACTCCCATGGATTTTAGTGATCACATACCATTTTTTCTACCGCACCTCAGTCCATGCACAGGCTGGACCTACTTTGGGGATGAGTCAGGGTTATATTGAGAAGGAAGCTGTTGTTTATAGGACTCCTACCTCATTTGTTGCAGAAGTTGGAAAGTGTGTACCTGTTTAGGCCTGGGAGAAATGGCAGACCTAGGCCCTTAGATAGAGGGGAGGGACCAGTGGACGTGGGTCACAACTGAATACAGGCAGTCCCCGAGTTACGCGGATCCGACTCATGTCGGATCCGCAGTTACGAACAGGGTTTGCTGCCCGTCTCCCTGGTCTGCTGAGACGGGGAGCAAAGCTGGGGAGCACGCGGGCAGCGGACAGTCCAGACGTGCCGCGGCTGTCCCGCTGCCGGCGTCCTCAGAGGCTTTGCTCCCCGTCTCCCTGGTCTGCTGAGACGGGGAGCAAAGCTGGGGAGCACGCGGGCAGCGGACAGTCCAGACGTGCCGCGGCTGTCCCGCTGCCGGCGTCCTCAGAGGCTTTGCTCCCCGTCTCCCTGGTCTGCTGAGACGGGGAGCAAAGCTGGGGAGCACGCGGGCAGCGGACAGTCCAGACGTGCCGCGGCTGTCCCGCTGCCGGCGTCCTCAGAGGCTTTGCTCCCCGTCTCCCTGGTCTGCTGAGACGGGGAGCAAAGCTGGGGAGCACGCGGGCAGCGGACAGTCCAGACGTGCCGCGGCTGTCCCGCTGCCGGCGTCCTCAGAGGCTTTGCTCCCCGTCTCCCTGGTCTGCTGGAGACCAGCAGACCAGGGAGACGGGCAGCAAACCCTGTTCGTAACTGCGGATCCGACATGAGTCGGATCCGCGTAACTCGGGGACTGCCTGTATTAAGAACAACAAAGTAAAAAACAGAGATGTAAGTGATGGTCATATGGTAAATATCAGGGAACCAGAAGGGGATGCTGAGCAGAAAATGTCTGACAGCAACTACCACTCCTTAAGGGCATCTAAGGAGTATGCCACGCAGAGGAACTATGCCTGGAAATGTGATTGGACAAGGGAAGAAAAGTAGGCCACACAGTTGGAGAACACCCCCAAACACCCACACAGCTTCCTCTTCTTCATATGATGCATGGTCATCCTGGCCAGCAACACAAAGAGGTTGAAAAGTAGGTCTCATGAATTAGTGGGGTCACAGATGGAATGCGTATAAAATCGGGAGAGGCAGAGAGAAGTACATCCAGAAATTTAATAAGATATTCTGAAGGAACTAGAAGAGAGCTGTAACCTGATGCAATAGATTTGAGCCAGGGTCTCCCTCTTGCCACAAAAGGGGCTGGGGAGTTTGTGAACTGCACCAGGTACAAACCTCTGCTTGTGGCTGTGTGAAAGAGCTCCCAGCTTTGGAAGCTATGTAGTGAATGAGGCTGAGCATTGCAGAAAGAGAAAGGATTGCTTCATGGTTAAGACAGCTGAACAATGGCCTCAAGAACTGGATTCTGTTCTTGCCTCTGCCAGAGAGGTTAAATGTCACTTTAACCAAATTTTTCAGAGGTGGTCACTTATTGTGTTGTACAGGCAACCTCAATTCCGGCATCTGCTAACTTCTGAGTTCTTGACTTTGCACCTTTTAATGTTCTTTTCATGTGGATTTTTTGTAATTACTGTATACTTGTTAAAAATCCTGGAGAATTTAAGATTGGATGCATTCATAAAGGATTATTTTCTATCTCAACTAGGGCTGTCAAGAGATTTAAAAAATTGAGATTAATCACGCTGTTAACAGAATACAATTTATTTAAATATTGTGTATGTTTTCTACATTATCAAATATACTGATTTCATTTACAGCACAGAATTCAAAGTGTACAGTTCTCACTTGATATTTTGTTTAAAAATATTTGCACTATAAAAAACAAAAGAAATAATATTTTTCAGTTCATCTAATGCAAGTACTGTAGGGCAATCTCTTTCATTAGAAAATTGAACTTACAAATGTAGAATTATGTACAAAAAATAACTGCATTCAGAAACAAAATAACATAAAACTTTAGAGCCTACAAGTCAACTCAGTTTACTTCTTGTTCAGCCAATTGTTCACACAAACAACTTTGGTTACAATTTGCAGGAGATAAAACTGCCTGTTTCTAGTTCTTATCTTCTGAAATTGAGAACAGGCATTCTGCGTGGCACTGTTGTAGCTGGTGTTACAAGATATTTACAAGTCAGATGTGCTAAAGATTTGCATGTCCTTTCATACTTCAGCCACCATTCCAGAGGACATGCATCCATGCTGACGACAGCTTCTGCTTGATAATGATCCAAAGCAAAGCGGACCAGCGTGTGTTCACTTTCATCATCTGAGTCAGATGCCGCCAGCACAAGGTTGATTCTCTTTTTTGGGTTCTGTAGTTTCCACATTGGAGTGTTGCTCTTTTAAGACTTCCGAAAGCATGCGCCACACCTCATTCCACTCAGATTTTGAACGGCCCTTCAGATTCTTAAATCTTGGTTTGAGTGAAGTTATGTAACAACAACAACAAAAATCTACATTTGTAAGTTACACTTTCATGATAAAGAGATTGCATTACAGTATTTGTTTGAGGGTGAACTGAAAACTACTGTTTCTTTTTTCCCTGTCACTTTTATAGCCCAAATATTTGTAATAAAAATAATATAAACTGAACACTGTTTGTAGTCTAAATTGTAACAGAAATCAATATATTTGAAAATATAGAAAAACATTCAAAAATGTAATAAATTTCAGTTGGCATTCTATTAGTGTGATTAATGGAGATTAATTTTAATCATAATTAAATTTTGAGTTAATTGCTTGAGTTAACTACAATTATTCAATAGCCCAAATCTCAACCAGAAGTTAGGGGCTTGATGCAGGAATTACTGGGTGAAATTCTACATCTTGTGTTATGCAGGAGATCAGAACAGAAGATTGTAATGATCCTAAAAATCTATGACTTTACAGAGCTTGGTCTACCTTTTACTTTCTGGATCAAATTCACAGAAAGGGCTACCAGAGAATTACTGCAGTTTTTTTCTCAAGTCCAGTTTCAATGGAGTTACACTGCAATAAAACTGGGAGAGAGAGTCATAGTAGTTTAAAAAATTGTGACAATTTCTGGCACCTTTACTCATATTGTGAAGAAAGCTGCTATTGTAACACTTCCACTGAACTCAGTAAGACTATATGTGAAATATGAACTTGCAAATGAACTTGTAGATTAAGATACTAATCAGGCATACTACTGAATCTGGCCCATTTGGAGCAAACAGAATCTTACTACAAATAGACCCCAATTGCATCATGAGCTTTATAGAGGTAGATCCATGAGTCAAGAAAGATTTTTACATGATTAAGATCTTACTTTCATATGCTTTAAAAAAGCAACCAAGGTATCAAAAGCAAACAACAAATATCAAACTAATATTATTACTACAAAGTACAGACAGAAGAGTATATTCAATCTAAGAGGCAAGACCCAGTAAGTTTCAAGTTTAAATAAATTTCCTCTCCCCAAATGTTCAAATTTTCATCTCCAACAGGCTTACACTAAATATTTGATATTTTTATTGAAAACTGAGCATTGTGGTTACATGAGGCCAAAAATAAAGGTAAGGAAGTATGCAAAGGTCTAAAACATGAAGTAATGAAAATATGTTTTTGTCCTTTCCAACTGGAAGAGTTTAGCCAGGAAACATGACAATCTTGTATAAAACGTAATATCAATCACAACTGAAAGTTCAACATTCCAGAACATAATCAGAAGAGCTGCAGTCACCTTAACATTTGCTGTTAAAGAATGTTTCCCTCTGTTTAAAAAAAGAAGTATATACCTATCTAAATAAATAAAATGGGTTTCTTTTAATGCTACTTACGTAACAGTAGGATCCACTTGTTTGTAAGCATGGGCTGCACATGACCCACAGTAAGTATATCCAGCATGGCTACAAAACACATTTTTTAAAATTAACTTTTAAGTTTAAGACTGAAAACAAGCAGCAAAATAATATCAGCAATCTAAAAAGAAAAACTTAAGAGAATGATCAAAACAGCAGCTTGTGAAATAGGAATTGGCAAGTATTAATCAGGGCTGACACTTCTAAAAGGCAATACGGGGTATATGTGGGATGTGCCGGTTACATTATGTTCTGAACATTATTTCTGAAGAAATTCCACTCTGTCTTTCCTATGAAAGGCTTTTCAAAGTAGTAGCAAAATGGACAGCTTATTTGAAAATGGCAAAAGAAATGCAAACATCTATGACCATGACTAGCTGACAAGATGCTCCTTCCCCTTCCTTGTTTTCCAGATCCATCATACTCCAAAAGCTTCCAGTCTTTTAGACTACTTGTTATGCATCCTACATCTAGATCTGGCATCCACACTTTTAAAAGAATGTTAAAAAATTGGAAAGGGTTCAGAAAATTGCTACAGGAATGATTTGTGGTCTGTAAAACAAACGTTACAACAAGAAACTTAAGGAGATCAATCTTACAACAGAAGTAGCCTATAAGCACCTACCCAGAAAGAAGACATCTGACAGCAGAGGGCTCTTTAATTTAGCAAATGCATAACAAAATTCAATGACAAAGTTAAAAACAGAAAACTTCAAACTGGAAAGACATTACCAGTAAAAGCAATTATACACTGAAACAAGCCTACAAAGAGAGGGATATCTTTTTAAAAGATACTCTGCGGTTCAAATTATTGGACTCAATGCAAGAATCACAGTGTGAAATTTAATGGTCTTGGATTTGAAATTTGATTTGCAGGAGGTCAGAGTATACCACAAAGATCTTTTGTGACCGTAAAAATCTAACTGCCTACTTTGTATTTCTCTCTACACTACTTATTTCATTCAATGATCTCAAACCATTTTTATCAAGGAAGGTAAGTTTCGCTGTTCCATTTTACAGGTAAGAAAGCAGACACACAGATAAATAAATTACTTGCTCAAGGTCACAAAAAAGAATCAGTGACAGAGCTGGAATAGAACTCAGGTTTCCTGACTCTTAGTCTAGTGTCTGTCCACTTGACTACACTGTCTTCCCTGAACTTAGCAGGTTTTTGGTTCAATTTCTTACTGTTACTTCCACGATATTGTTATAAATATACAGCAAACATTATGTGTAAATAAAAGTCACTATAACCAAATTATCCTACCTTAACATCTGTCCCATCTCACAGTAAACTGGATTGGCCTCATTATTTTATTCAGTTATCTCATGTCTCCTCTGCCATTCTACCTTAATGTGTTTTAGAAATGGCTAGCTGTTATTTTTCCAATTTATCCTGCAAACAGAAAATTACATAGGGCTGCATGGCCAGTCAATGATTTTATTGCCACATTAATATTTTAAAAAATATGGCTAGACTTTTTGCAAAATAGCTATGCTCTTTTTATTTTCCCATTTGCTATGTTATTTTGGTAGTTCGGTCACTTGCACAACTGATCATAAATTTTGCTGTAACAGTTATTTCTGCAAACGATACAATTGTATGGCTCTCGGTGTCTTTGATGCAAGGATATGATATAGTCCCAAAAGGAATAAGAACATACTCCTGATCGAACTACAGCTGTTATTTCCAGTTTTTGTTCACCCTCCTAAAGGTCTGCACTAGAAATTATATTCTTTGATCTCTGCATGGGGAGTAAGTTTCAGACAGAATGCACTCATTACTTTCACAGAGACTGAAGGAACATGAAGAAAACTGGGTTAAAAGACTTCTGAGGCCTTATATTACTTCCCAACTGCAGTGAAGGTTAAGAACTTTTATAGTATTTAATAAGAGTATGATTTTTCAGGGTATTTAATTCACAGACCTGTTTGAACACTGAAAAGGCATTAATCTGATGCATTACCTAGAAGTCTAGAATTAAGTGTGTGTCACTGCTCTTTTGGGCAAAGACAGATACTTTTCCTGGATATTTTCAAATAACTGAAAAGAATTATCATTTGGACTCATTTGTATCTAGCTTGTTCACAGCCCAAAGAACAACTTTTTTTAAAGCATGGTACAAATTCTATTTGATTGTTCTGAAGGCATTTTTCAGATGCAGACATACAAAGCATAGTCATACAAAGATACTTATAGAATCCAAATCAAATATTTAAAAAACATTTAAAACTGCAATTCTTATAAAGAGACAGAAATGGAAGCAAAAAGCATAAGCCTGAATTGATCTACAAGTCAAACTGCACATTTGTATAAGAAGTTTACAGAATCAAGGTAACCAATAAATAATAATAATATGGTACCAATGCTATGCCTGGTGCTATACAAAGAAAGAATAACAATCCCTTCTCCTGAAGAATTAGCAATCTTTATATTATCACTCTACTAAATCTCCTTTGAACTACTTTGTAGGAACAAATCTTTTTCTGGGAAAAGGAGTGCTTTTACTAACTCATCTGTCCACAGAACCCAATCACATATTAAACTGTGTACATGCCTCACTTTTCATGATATTCAGAGTATTTTCAGTTATTTTCAAACTTCTTTAATTAGTGATCCCTTTCACACAGCAAGCCTCTGAGTGAGATCCCTTTATAAATTAAAAATGGGGGTTAATTTAATGTAATGGAGGCTCAGGGCTGTTGGACCGATGGAGCAGACAGTTTGCTCCCTCCATGTAACCACCTTGCAACCACTGAGGGGTCACAACCCCCAGTTTGAAAACCCCAATCAGCATACTACTTAGCCAAAAACAATACGTTACGAAAATCTTAAGAAAGGTCTTAATATGTCAAATGCTAAAATACAGATATGAAACTTACGGTGCAATAATGGCTCTAGCAGGTCTTTTTGTAGACTGTACTTGAGAAAGCCAACCTTCTAGTTGTGCATTCAGCTGGGGTCCTACAAAAATAGAAGGAAATATTGAAATAATGAAAATCTAGTAGAGTTTATAATACAACCAAGTACAGTAAGTAATCTTATAATATGATCATGAGATTTAAAACCTTTATAAATAAAAGCAAACGTTTGTGTGTGTTTCAAGAAGTATAAAAAACAAACAAATAAAAGTTATAAATGCAGCATGACCCATATTGCTTAAGGTCACGCTAGGAATGTTTTAGCCTTCCAAACTGTAATTATTTAATCACTTTGCAACCAGTTTGTTCTTGTTCGGCGAACAGAAGACATACACAAACCATGCTCAGGGCAACAACTATCAATGACAAACTCACAAGGGGGTGATGTTATACATTCAATTAGTTTACTTTCTTAATCAAAATGAATTAAAACTGTGAGGGTTAGAGAAAACAATGCGAAAAAAGCATGTAACCAGAGGCATCTGCTACCAAGTACGACTGACTGAATATACTTCCAAGAAGGTGACCAGTGGCTATGGAAACTGTGAGCTAGAAACCTATAAAGCAGATATCAGGCTGTAAGAAGTGAGAAAATTCCAGATATGTAGTAAGAGAAAGTATAGTATTTTGGAATAAATTTAAGGCTCAGAAAACAGCTCTATAAGATCAGTACCTATACTGCTTAATAGTTTTCAGTTTGGAGCCCAATGCCACAAGTTACTGAGCACCCTGACAGGTGTTGATCATTCTCAACTTTACTAGCCCTTATAAGGTTATAAGAAATCCTTTCAATCAGAGATGTTATTGGAAACATTAAGAAAATGCATTTTAATATCTTTATATCAGAGTAGTCCCTCTTGGTGTAAAACTACTTTTTGGAAACTGATATTTACTATAACACAATGTTCTTTATTAGAGGAACGCAATTAACTTTTTTTAAAACTGCATTTTCATCTGAAAAATGTTTACTTGCTATTGTTACAAATAACATAATATTATTATAAGAGAAAGAGTAAATAAATATATTTCCTTCAGACTGTTTACCATACACATTTGACAGAAGTTTGTTGAAGTCACTTTCACTTGCAACATTTTATACAGAAATTCAGTTTCCCCTGCTTGTGTCACAAAGATTGTCAGGGATAGATGTAGCACGAAAGTAATTTACAACCATTTCTTGAAACGGACTGAATTTCAAGCTGACAGTTTCTTCAAAGACTTGTTTAAACATCTAAACAACTTAGAGGCATGCATCCAGCATGACAGACAGAGCTTGTCTTCACTCAGTGCTGCAATTAAAGCAATGGGCATCAATTTAGTCAATATGGTGAAGATGTGATAAGTTGATGGGATAATGCTCTCTTGTTGACTTTAGTACTCCACCTTCCAAAGAGGTGAAATCAAGGTCTTCTGTTGACAGAGTACAGTGAGGACACCAATGTAAGTTGATCTAAACTACGTCAATGTAAGTTACATATTACATAACTTAACTATCGGCGTAACTTATATCAATTTACCTTGTTAGTGTAGACCAGGACCCAGATCTTAAAAAAGCCCTCTCAGCCACTCACAACTGGCAACTGAGTTTTCCCTAGTGAAGGAAGACTTTTAGCCAGCAATTTCTGCAAAATTTAGGCTACCACAGTATGATCATTTCTGCCTTTACAGCTGAGAAAAAAATCTTCCAAATATGAGATGAAGGTAAATCAATGAACAGTTGTTTTCCTTAGTCTGCAGATAGCCCAAACTCCCCTTGTTCAGAGCTTTACCAAAGAGCAGAAAAATGACATTAGCAAGATTAGCTCTTTTCACTGATGCAATACAGCATGTACTTGACAGAAGTTAAACTGTCAACAATCACGCTGTTTCCGCTGCTTGTGACAATTATGAGCATCAGCAAAGTCAGGCACAGGAGTTCTTGAAAACAAATTATCTAAAAACAAAGGGTGTTGATGGAATAGAGTAAAATAGACAGACCTCTCTTCTTATGCTCTTCTCAGCAACTATATAGTAGCAGAAAGCTAGTACCATTCTACACAGCGAGGAGACCGTGGCAGAGTGAGAGAGGCAAAAGCTCTCATTTCCAGCAGTTAAATAGGATGAGGGGTCATTGAAAGCACACTAGTAGAATTTCTAGCACTCTCTCCCCTCCTAACAAGTGGGATCTGATTGGGGTTTGGCTTCTCAGCAAGTCATTGCCTTCTCAAGGGGCCCCTTCTCTTATATCAACGTTATTGTTATGCAATCTCCCCCATCTTTCCCCTGATCTCTAAACAGCAGGTTTAGATCTTTGGCTACTAGGTACTTGGTTAATGTGTCAAGCCTTGATAATAATAGTTGACAAAATAAAAACATGTCCTATTTCATGAGGGGCATTGGAAAATCCACAATTTATCTTTTCTAGAGTGACAAACTTTATCCAATTTGGGATTTCACATCTCTATTTACCTAAATACAAGACACACACACAATTCATTGGGAAGCAGTTAGTATTGCTACACACACAAAATAGCAAACAAAAACAAAAAGTTACACCACCTCATAGTACATATTTGCTACTTTCCCACTCAAATGACTGTACCTTATCATTAAAACAATGGAATGCTGCAGATCTCATACAACGTCTTTAACTCCATCCCCTTGTTGTCCTGCTCACATTGATTTACCAGATTATTTTCTCCTCTAGTATTAATAGTTGCTGCATGGGTAAAGAGTTATGTGTAGAAGAGCAATTAAAGAGAGGGATGGAAAGCTGCCATAGCTAGGCATAGTTAAGGTTGTGGTATGTTATGTCTGGCATATGGTAGTTTTCATATTTGTAAGGTGCATGAATGAAACTTTCTCCCATCAGAAAACTATAGTTCTTGACTAAGAAGAACTGCAACCAAAACTGCTTCAGTCAGCCTCCTAGATGACTCCATAATAATCTGGAACATCAACAAGGAAAAAAAGTAGCTCCTCTTAATGAATTCTTCCAAACTGATCCAATACATAATCAGATTTTATTTTCTTGTAGAGAGGGGACTGGTTTGAAAACAGATCAAGACTTCATGCCATAAATGCCACATACACACTTTCATTTCCAGGAAAACCTCACTTTATTTGTGGTAACAGCTGGAAAATTCTTTACATTTTATTAAAAAAATTGCCATGGAAGACCTATTGGTATCCATTTTTAAATTTTCCTAGCAACTTACCACAATTTTAAATCTTATTGCAAACCACCAATTCCTCTGTTTGCTCCATGAAGGGTAAAAGTACATTGAGTACTGCATAAAAAGATGTACATTATAATAAGCATCACCAGGTGTGCTATTACAGTCTCCAAATTGGTTTTCTTAGCATGTAAGAAAATGTTCAGACTTGAAAAGACATGCTGTGCTAGTTTTGATTATGTAAGGTTCTGTGAAGAGGCACAGGTCCTTGGAAAGAGAGAGAGCTGTGTGAACAGCAGCAGTTTCTCTCTCCTTTGGTATCCCATTAGTCACTCCTTGAGACTAAGCTGCTCTCTGGGAACTAACTTGAGCACTGGTACCAGACAGAAATTCCTGAAAACAGGTATTGCACTACATGCTGTTTGACTATCTCTATTCTGGGATTGGTGCATGAGTGACACTTAGTAGTGGATCAACGCTAGTGTCCAAAGAAGGGGCAACAATTGAATTAGGAATGTCAGTGCAAGAGAGGAAATTAAAAAATGGTCCTCTCAGAGATATTAACATAGTATACTGTAGATCTGCAGAGTTACAATCTGACCAGTCAATCACATCCCCCACCCCCATTTGGAACTGGAAATATGCAGTCAGGCAGCAGCAAAGACAAAACTAACAAACAAAAAAGCAAATACAATACAGTACTGTGTTAAATGTAAACTACTAAAAAAAGAGGAATGTTTAAAAAAAGATTTGACGAGGTAAGGAAACTGTTTCTGTGCTTGTTTCATTTAAATATAGATGGTTACAAGCAGCATTTTTCTTCTGCATAGTAAAGTTTCAATGCTGTATGAAGTCAATGTTTAGCTGGAAACTTTTGAAAAAATAACCATAACAGTTTGTTCAGAGTTACAAACAACCTCCATTTCTGAGGCTTTCATAACACTGAGGTTTTTCTGTATTGCAAGAGTATTTTACCTTACAACTGTTAAGTGAAATTTAATCATTGGTACTCAGAGCCAAATTAATGATGCTGTGGAAGGCGAAACTTCTTTTTTGTCCCTTTTTTTGTTTGTTTTTTGTTTGTTTTGTCTAATAAATTCTCAATCTTAACAGTACATCAAAGAATTATGCATACTGAATGACCTTATTTATGTAAGCAAAAATGATACTGAAACACATATTTGAAATGTGTACTCTAGTAAGTTGCATGCAGTGACCCATATCATTAAAGCAATGATAATATTCCTTGTATTACAAATCAATTTCTCAGAATGTACAAAGCAAGTATCATTTTAAGAAAGGTCATGGATCCAATGGAGGTATTGACTGTCTCGACAGATTCTACTATGACTCAACACATTTACCTGGACTGCAAATCCTAAACATTTAAGATCACAGAGACACTCAAGTAAAAGGCATGGTAGGCTGACCATTGACCAACAAGAGCTTTTATTTCAGTAATCTTGATTCTAGACAAATGTACTCCAGTAATTTCTTTGGAAAATGTTGTTTAAGTTAAATGTTAAATTTATTTTGCTGAAGGAAATGTAGTAAACAGACTTTCAGTGGCTTTTAATTTGGTTAAGAAATAAAGATGTTACCACAACCAAAAACTGAAATGATCATCTTTGCTATGGATTACAACAGATACAAGCCAAATCTGAAGTTTAAAACAAAGACAAAATTACCCGAGTACCCAGAAAGATTGCAAAAATTGTTAGCCTTATATAACAGAAGTGATTCTAGCCCCAAAGAGCTTGCTATATTTATAGATATGACAAATGAGAGCAACCAAAAAGGGTGGGAATTGGAAGAAGTGTAAAGATTACAATAAGTTCACATATGCAAAGTTTGCTATGTGAACATCTAAACATTTGTGCATGCATGC